GACGGGGCGCCGGCGGGAGCCGATGCCCGCACGAGCCCGCCCCGGCCCGCCTCGGCCCGCCTCCGCCGTTTGCACGAACCTGCCGCGCCGCCGGCGGGGCTGCCGGGTGACAGCGTCCTCCCCGCGCGCCGGCTTCCCCCGCCGCCCTCCAGGCGGCCCCCCAGCCACACACACACGCCTGTGCCGGGGGATCTCCGCTCCTCAAGCGCCCCTTGCCAGGCGGCCGGGTGAGGCAGAGGAGGAGGGCTGGGGGTTCCTGGGGAAGCCCCTCTCCTCCAGCCAGTGCGGACCCCACCCCCAAATAGAGCCCTCAGCGGAGACCGGGGTGGGGGTGGGGGGTGGGACCGCGCTAGGGATCTGATGGAAACTGGACATTTTCTTCCCAGCACGTCGGCGTGTCTTTGCCGCCCCTTGGCTGTGGCTCCTCTGGCAAGGTCTGCTGAACCCCGCGCTGGCTGCCTTTTCTGTGCTTTAAAGAGGAGAGGGGAGGCGAGCGCTAGAGTGAGAACGTCAGGGTGCTGGTGGAGGCAGGGTCCTCACCAATGCGCTGTCTTCGCTGTGCACCTTTGGGCACGCAACTAACCTCTCTGCGTCGTACAATTGGCGTGAAGACAAACCATGTTATTTCTACTTGCCAGCATTGCTTTCTAATACTTTCTGTGTGTCAGGCACTGTGTAGAGCAACCTGTTTCTATCATCTTATTTAATCTTTACATTAATCCTATATAGGCATTATCATTGTGCCCATTTTACAGATAAGGCTGAAACTGAAGCTTAAATAAATAGCTGGCCCAGGGTTACACAGCTACATGAAATAATATGTGTGGGAAAAGAACTTTGGGAAGGAATGCATATAAGGATATTACTTTTACATGTGGTGACCTGATTCCGTTCTTAAAATCCTCTGCCCCAAAGAGTCCTAAATGTACTAACTGAAAGTAACTGTATTTACTCATTGCCACCAAGCTTACTAAGTGCCATCCCTGGTAGAGAAGGAAGGGGAGGTGGGATTTCTGCCTTAAAAGAGGAGCATACATAACCACAGCCTAAGCAATGCCAAACGGAGCCCTTTGGGGGGCACCAAGGCAGGGCACAGGGTACCCTGGCTGGGATGCTCTCATGCCTACCTAGATGCACCCCCCCCCACCTGTGGGTTTCTGTCCTCCCTGGAGGCAGCCAGTCCATCATTGCTCAGTTATCTACAGACCCCTGGCTCCCCCTCTGCGCCCCCTGTCCCCCAGCTACTTTGTTCCCGAAGGTTCTCTTCTTGAAGTTTTGTGTTGTTCCTGTTGGCCCTGCTGCTTTCTTTCCCATTGGGAAGGGGTGTCTTCAGGCCAGGCCCTGTGGCTGCACTGAGACCTGAGATGAAGGGGCTGCTTGGGGCTGAGGAGGAAGGGGGTCAGAGCTAGTGTGTTAGAGTCTGGCCCAGGGGGGCCGAGCCCCACCTAGCCACGCGACCTTGGGCGCATTGATGCCTCCTGGGCCTCAGCTTCCCCCTGTGGGAGGAGGTATCACTGAAAGAGGTGATCTTGGAGGCCCCCCTCCAGGTCGGAAATGCTAGTGTAGGGCTCTCTCTCTCTCTCTCTCTGCAGTGTTCATTTCGCAGCTGCCTCTTGGAAGGCTGTGGAAAAGGTCCTGTGGCTTGGGCTCCAGGGAGTGTGGGGTTTCCCTCTGACCCAAATTCTGCCCTCTCTCCCTCTGGGAAGGCTTCCCTTGGCCTCTGAGGCAGGCCGGCTGTGGTGTGGCCTGCCGGGAGAGGTGCTAGGCCAGCCAGCAGCTGGAGCAGGGTGCCGGCGCCTCCCCGACAGTCTGGCCTTCCAGACGAGCAGGAGGTGGCAACAGAAGAGCCAGGCTGCCTGGTGGTGGTGCAGCGGGTGGGGGGAGGGGTCGCCAGGTCATGGCCCCCCTCCCCTGCCCTCTCCACCCTGAGTGGGTTCTGAGAGAGTCTGCAGCCAGTCAGCCTCCTTCCTCTTTTGGGGGTGAAGCATCAGCAGATTTACTGACTTGTGAGCACCCCACTTCTGACTTGGCATTTTCCAGCGCAGAAACTGCTGAGTCACCAGAGGGCAGCCCCAGCACACTCCTTCTCCCCTGCATGGGTGGAGACCCACCCTCGTCCACCTTGATGGGTGTCTGGGAAGAAGCGGCTTGGAGGAAAGGCATTGGCGGAGGAAATGGTTTTGCTGTGGGAATCCTGGGGAAACACAGACTCTTGCCCCAGGTCTGGTAGACCGAGGAAAGATAAAAAGAACAGAAAAGTTGCTCAAGGAATCTAAATGGCCCACATGAGCTGAGAGGGGGAGGAGCACTGGGGCCCGGGGGCCTCGCTTTCCCCTAGGGCAGGGGTGGAAGGCAGGGGTGCAAGAACAGAGCGGAGCCTTGGCCTGCGCTCCCAGTTGCCTGAATTTCTCTGTGGGCTCCCTTGGCCTCCTCCTGGCTCCTCACCAACCCAGCCACTGGTGATATTCTCACTGACCACCTCTGCTCCTTCCTTGCCCTTATCCTGTTAGCCGTGAGCCCCAAGTGGAGCAGGGGCTCCACTCATTGAAGCAGGTGGGATGAGGAGTGAGGGGTGAGGTCTGGCGTGGGCATGCAGGCGGGGGCAACTGTCCATTCTGCCCTGAATCGGACAGCCCAGGCTTCCTGGAATCCAGAGCGTCCTGGGGAAGAGAGCGGACCTGGGGGACAGTTGCTTCCTGCCTGAGGTGTGGGAGGGGACCAGTGGAGGCTCCTGATCACCTTGGGAGAGGCCCCTGTTCCAAGGGCAGTGGTGGGAGCCTGCTTCCAGAAGTGGCTTGTGTTTGTCTGGAGGCAAGGCCTGTGTGCAGGGGAAGTGAGAAGTGGGTATTGTGCCTGCTTATTAACAAAGAACGAGTACGTGGAACACCCAAAATGACCATCTTCCTTTTCCTAGCACTTTCTGGTACATGGGGGAGGGGGAGTTCTGGGGGCCCTGCTGCAGCATGGCCAGTGGACTAAGAGATGGCATTTCCACAGTCCCCTATTTCAGCATTTCCTAACCCAGAAATTGCTGAGTCACAGAGGAATAACTCTGACCTCCTTATTTTTCTCCTGAGCCGGCTCCAGAATCCTTGAGTGCTAACAGATCTTAGAGCTTCTCTACTCAGGCCCCTCCATGGAGGACTGAGGAAGAGGGTAAGCAGAGCAGCCCCACGCAGAAGCCCATTAGGCTGTTCCTTGGATGCGCTCAGTGACCATATGCCGCCTTCCTAGGGCCCTTTAGAACCCAGTGGCATCCCCAGATGAACTTAGGATGCCTGTGAGAGGTCTGGGAGATGCTTCTGGGAAGGGTGGCCAGATGCCCTGCTCCAGATCGTATAAGATGTAAGCCGAAGCCATGAGCCACCTCTGGCTTGCTCCAGCTTGCTGTCTAGGCGGGGATGGATAGATGCTTGTTCCCGCTCGCCCTGATCTCAGGGCTGGAGGCGCCCACGGTCCAGGCCCCAGACCCCAGACCCCTGCAGAAGGTTGGGGTGGGGAGGAGCGGAGCTGGGAGAGTGCAGGTCAGACAGGGTGGGAGGGGAGGCTGGGGGCGGGGCTGGCAGGGCTGAGCCCTCTCTAGGCTGGAAGCCTGGGGTCGCTGAGTTTCCACGCTGGCAGGACCTCTGGGTTCACCCATTTCTAGATGTGGAAACGCAAGGCTCTGAGAGGTCATGAGCAGCACAGCGGTGCCAGGCCCCAGGCTTCCTGGCTTCCAGTCTCGTGGTTTGCTGTCCCTTGCCAGGCTGCCTGAATTGTGACAGCTTCTGAGCTGATAACCAGAGCATAGTTCTGTGATGATGCTCCCCTCCTGCCAGCCCCTTTTTCCCTCCTAACTTAAAAATATATATATATGAAAAATCTTGGGCATGTAAAAAAGGATAGATGATTTAATGAACTCCCTTCTACTTAGCACCCGGCCTAAGAAAATACCACCGATTCAGTTGAAGCACTCTCCCACCCCCAATCTCCTGTCAACTTCCCTTCCTTCTCTCCCTTGCCCAAGATAACCACTTTCCCCAACCAGATGCCCACCCTTCCTATGCACATATGCTATTCTGCATGTAGTGTGTGTGACTGTCTTTTTGAAAGGTCTCCTGACTCCTAGGATCCAGCAGCCCGTGTAGCCCACACCCAGGTAGAGAGCTTACAGCTGGCTTTGCCGCGTTCCTCATTCCTTCCTTGCTGGGACCCCGTGGCCCTGCTCCAGACCCTTGCCAATGGCATTGGTATTTGTTCCACTCATGGGGCTGCACCGGCAGGCACGGCCTGGCACAGAGGGCACTCATTGTAGTGGCTGAGTGGCAGCTGGCATCTTAGTTTGCCCTGAGGGCAGGCCCAGGAAAGACTGGGGTGTCTGGCCTGCCCTCTCAGCAAACTAGAGGGAGTGAGGTCGGGTCTAGCCAAGAGCAAGAAGGCCACTTGGGTGCTGGGTGGCATTGGGGGGGGGTCTCCCTGCCGGGCTTCCTCACTCTGCAAGACCAGTCCAGGGAGTTGCGAAAGGGCCAAGAGGTCAGCCACAGGCCTCGAGGTGTCTGGGTTTTGGCCTCTGAGGGCCAGGTAGAGCAGGAGCATCAGGGTGAGAGGGCCACTTCCCCCCTCAGTGGCCCTCAGGGTAGGGAGTCACAGGTCCTCAGAAAACAGGCTGGACTGCATTGATTCCCAAACCTGCTGATGTCAGGACCTCTTCACACCCTTGAAAAGTAGGGAAGCCCCGAGGAAATTGTGTGTACGTGGGTTCTGTCTATCCATATGCACCATACTAGAAATTAAGACCCAGAACATTTTCAAGCACTTTGAAGCAATATTAAAAATAACCTTGCGTCGCCACAAATAACATTTTTGTGTAAGAAATATTCATGTTTTTCAAAACAAAAAAATTAGGGAGAAGAATGGCATGGTTCCCTATTTTTGCACATCACTTCAACATCTGGCTTAACAGAAGGCACCTAGATTCTCTTAATCTGCTTTTGCATTCAAGTCCTGGCCAGGGGCCTTGGAGCCTCCAGAACACTCCACTCCGCAGTCATGAGGCAGTGAAAGGCCAACATTATCTTAGTAGTATTACGTAAACAGCTCTGGCCTCTGGGACAGAAAGGGCCCTGGGGTCCCCGGGGTCCCCGGGGCTGAAGGCCTGGGGGGGGGGGTGGGGGGGCGGGGAACGGTGGCTCGCTCCCTGGGCTGACGAGTCTGTCCCCCGCAGGTGTGCTGGCGCTATGGGTGCTGGTGACGCACGTGATGTACATGCAGGATTACTGGAGGACCTGGCTCAAAGGGCTGCGTGGCTTCTTCTTCGTGGGCGTCCTCTTCTCAGCAGTCTCCATCGCCACCCTCTGCACCTTCCTGGTGCTGGCTGTCACCCGACACCAGAGTGAGGGCGGGTCAGGGAGGGAAGGGCATGGGAGGGCCATTGGGAGGGGGGTGGGGGCTTAGGAGCAGACCCGGGATTCTGGTCCTGGTTCCAAAGCTTGTGTCCAAGGGACTCGGGCAGATCACTTAGCCTCCCGGTGCCTGGGTTTTCTGTGTTAAGGAGGGGAATGAGTACCCACCCCTAGGGGTGGCAGGGTTCAGTGAACTGCGTGCGAAGTGTTGAGCGGGGGTGTGAGCGCTGGAGGTCCGCAGTGACGGGTGTTATTAGCAGAACGGGTCAGTCCTTCCGCCCAGCTCTGGGATGGGAGCGCCCCCTGGTGGCTGCGACCAGCAAGCAGGCAAAGGCCCTTCCTGCCCCTAGGAAGTCTAATGCTCAAGCAGGTTGGAAGCGGCCCAGGGTAAATGCAGGAAGGCCCAGTACAGGATACAGACCTGTGTTTGGCCAGTCCTGACCTTCCCTCATCCCCACTGCCTCCTGCCTGCAAACCCTGAATACTTTAAAACAGGTATCACACTCCATCTCTACTGGAGTTTGTGGGGAGGGGTGGCCCCGGGCTGGCGGCATGGTGGCTGGGGTCCAGGGCAAGGCCCTCTCAAGTCGCGGTTGGGTTCCTGTCCCCTGCAGGCCTCACAGACCCCAACAGCTACTACCTCTCCTGCGTCTGGAGCTTCATCTCCTTCAAGTGGGCCTTCCTGCTCAGCCTTTATGCCCACCGCTATCGGGCTGACTTCGCCGACATCAGCATCCTCAGCGACTTCTGACCCGAGGGGTGAGGTTTCTGGACCCCGGAGGTCCTCAGGACCTGGACTCAGCCTCTGAGACACCAGACAGGCCTGCCACACCCCCCTGGAAACCCTAGATCTGTGGCAGAAGATACACAGCAAGAGGACTGTGGTCTCCCCGGAAGCTGTCCTGCTCCCGTTGTGGGGGAGATCCGGGTGCAGTGGAAAGGGGTCCTTCCTGCCAAGTTGCTCCTCCTCAGCCTGGCTGGAGGGCAGCTTTAGACCTTTTCAAATGGATCTATTTTCTTAGCGCTCAGTGAGGAATCTTCGCAAGGAGGGCCAGGGCAATGAGTCAAGGGGTAGGGCAGTGAGCCGTGACCTATGCCTGGGGGCACTCTCCCTCAGGCCAGGCTGGGAACCTGGGAGGTCAGGCCAAGTAAGGGATCTCTAGTAGAGGCCTCTCAGGCCCCAGCCCCAACACCCCATCCTGTTGTCCTTGAGAGTCAGGTAGCTTAACTCTTCAATCCCAGGGATGGCAATACTTGACTCTCTTTTTCCCAAGGCCTGGGGACCTGAGAGTTTAGTGTCCCTCATCACCCCAGAGCCGGTCTCCCATGAGCGTGCTAGAACCAGTCATCTTCGCCATACCCAAGCCCTCTCTTTTACACATACCGCCCTCCCCAAGCAGGACTCCCTGAACGAGGCCAGACTAAGTGTCTGGGAAAGGTGCCCTGCCCCCTGAAGGGCTTTGGGGAAGGGGGCAGCATGGTGCGGGCTGGAAGGAACCCCTCAGCTCCGTGCCCGGGCACCTCCAGCCCTACATTTCCATCCCTTCTCACATGCATTATCCCTAGCCACGAGACACCCCACCGACCCTGCCCCTGCCCGCTGCCCTTCACCTAGAGCTTTTGTCTTTTTTAATCTCCTTTCTGAAGGACAACATCTGCTTTTCTGCCTATACACTGGCACAAGGGCTCACCTAACTCGGGAGGGAAGGAGCTATTGTTACATAGATCTTTTTTATGTTAGGCTGCCATGTTGCACGGTCTACCCTCTCCCCACCTGATGTGTCCTGCCCTTCAGCTCTTTGCCTTATCTGTGTCACTGTCACTTTAGCAGAAATACAGCAGCCATTTGTATCAGATAGCCTCTGGTGGTTCCTTGTGGGGCGGGAATCTTGCGGGGAGTGGGGGAGGTGCCGTGGGAGCGGTAGGCAGGAAGGGCGGTGGTGGAGGGTCTCTAGTTAAACGGTCTCCTTAGCTCAGGTTGTGCCCTGGAGGGTAGAGGGGAGATCTGTGTCTGAGGGGCTGGAGGCCCTCTCCCTCTGGCCCCTCTTGGCATGGGGGAGCCCAGCGGCTTGGCTCTCAGCCCATCCCAGCCGGGGCGAGGATGCCCAGAGGCACGGCTTCGGCGCCACCAGCGGGAGGTAGTGCCTTATCCCCCCAGAGGCCAGGACAGACAGGAAGGGGGTGAACCTGCTTCCCTTCATATTCTCCCAGGCTGAGGGCTCGGGGCCAGGTCTGAGGTGATGCGGCTGCTACTCCTGCCGCCTGGAGGAACCTGGCTGGCTCAGAACTATATAAAGATGGGCGTCGGCAGCCTGGCACCTTTCCCTCTGGTGACTGGATGAGCTTGTCCCAGCCTGTTGCCTCATGCATGGTCTCTTCCAAGCTCGGTATATGTTAAGAAGGGATGGTACGTCCGAGCAGGAAGGGACCATAAACAGCGTCTATTTCTGGAGCCTTTAACTGATAACCAGAGGCCCCAGGAGGTGACATGACTTACCTGAGCCCCCGGCTGGGACTTGAACCCAGGTAGGTCTGATTCGCCACTCTCTGCGGATGTGTTAGTGAGCTGGGTCTGTGTATCTGTACCTCACACTCTCGGTGGGCCTTGTGTATACGGACCCAGACCAAAGCCGCTGCCTCTTTATTACTCCACCACGGGCAGGTGGGGGCCGCTAGGGTGCGTTCAGCATGGATTTTTCCTGCAAGGGAGCTGTCACAGAAGGGCAAGGAGCTGGAGGGCGTGCCAGCCCGCAGCCCGACCCTGGTCCCTCTGCCACACCAAATGAGACACACACTGTGCCGTGCAGCCATAATATGCTCGCTGTGCCCCCCTCACCCCCAGGAGGCCCTTCCACAGGCACCTTTAAAGCAAATAAAACATTTATTGTTCAGATTTTTTTTCCATTTTTTTCTTTTCTTTTTTTTTCTTTTTTACAAAAACATGCATACATACACAGGGGGTGGTGGTCCTCGGGAAGACACACGCGCGCGTACACACACGCACACACACACACATACTCTCACTCTCTCTAGCACACAAATACTTTCCTTCTTGGCCCCAGGCCTGGACCCCAGAAGCCTTGATGACTTGGCCAGGGCAGCCTCCCCTCCCCCATGTCTTGCATCCACTCTCCCACCCCCTTCCCTCTCAGCCGAGCTGGTCCTATGGAGGGCAGGAGTCAGAGCTGGGTGAGGGAGACCCCAGAAAGAGAGACGTCTCATGGAGGAGGGCAGTGACCAAGGGGTCCCTGGTGGTCATGCTGTGCTACTGAGGGGAGATGAAGAGTTTGGCACCATTGGCTCAGGAAGCACAGAACTCCAAGAGCACCTGTCTGCTCCACCAGGGCACTGAGATGGCGGACGTAGGGTGGCCTCTGGCAGGGGCAGGGACCAGATGGGAGGCCTGCCAAGGACTGCTCGCTCTCTTGGAAGGAGCTTTGTCTCCCTGCCCAGTGGCGGGGGGAGGGGGGAGGAAGCTTCCAGAGTCATCTGAAGAAGCAGGAGAGAGGGATTCCCCCTGCACTCAGGTATAGGGGACCCCCTGGCTCCTCCTACCCATCCCCTTCTCCCCCTCCTCTGGCCCAGCCCTCAGAGCCTCAGAAGGGCCACCCTGGTTGAGGCCAAGTTCACATTTCTGTGTGGAGCCTGGGGCTGTGTGCAAAGCCCAGGGTCTACAGAGCCAAGAATAGTGGTTATCAGTGAGCCTGACTGAGCCAGTCCTCCTCTGTGCAGTCCTGAGGAAGGGGGGCCCAGCCAGGGGCCTGCACCCCAAAGGGGTAGACTCTGTTCTTGAGAGAGCCATACCAAGGGCTGGCCGACTGCCCAGCCTGCCTCTTCTCGGGGTCCTCTCTGGTCCCTATCCTAGACCCAGGGCCCTTCTCAGGCTCCTTGGGGTGACTGTCAAGGGGCCGTTCTCTGGCCCCAACTACCTGCCCGAAGGCTCTCTGAAGACTCCGGGAATGGGTACTATGGCCAGAGGTTAGAAGAGAACCAGGTCCGAAGGGCAGGGTGGGCAGGCAGATCCGTTCTAAGCCTTAGAGATTCATAGGTTCTTCCTCCTCCACCAGCTGTTGTGAGGGCCTGGGGGAGAGACAAGGATTGAGATGCCGGAGGGCCAAGGGCTGCAGGAAGGGCCTCAGCCTAGCCTCCCAGGAAGCCTGAGAAGGCTGGGGCGGCTGTGCCAGGATCGGGGATCCTCAAGTTGGAAGAGTCCGAGGGGTGGAGAGCCTGTCGGCCAGGGGTCGGGCATTACCGCTCTTCAGCCAGGATGCCCACGGAGAGGGATGCCAGTGCGGTCACTGCCTCCACTTCTTCTGTGTCGGCCCCTGGCACCCTGGGCACCCAGGAGTCTGGACAGGAGGCCAGGCGCTGCATGCAGCCCCAGTATTTACCTGGGACAAGAAGCGGAGTCGGAAAGGGCTGGGGAAGCGAGCCCCTCCACCCTGCCACACCATGCATCCTAGACTGATATCGAGGCTGGACCCCTCAGGCCAAGGGCCCGACAGCAGTGGGCGTGTCCTCAGTTTCGGGTCAGCGCTCTCACCTGCCTCTGCCTTCAACAGAACACGTTCCCCTACTCGGGCCCCCCCGCCCCCCCGCAGCCCTGACAGGGTGAGCGGAGAAGATTCATCGTGGCTATGAGGGGGCTCCAGCAGGTGCCCAAGCCATTCTCCCACCTCTTTGGGTGAAAGGCCACCTGTGACCCATTCCCATAGGTATAGGGTTCCTAAGAGCACCAGGAGGGCTCAGTTTCTCCTAGATGGGGTCTGCATCAAAGTCATCTCACAGATCTCGAGCTCAAGCCTCCTGGAACACAGGATCTCACTCATGTGCTGTCCCCAGCAAAGCTCAGCCCAGCACATAGGACAGGACAGCGTGGTAGGTGGGAAGGACAGAGCACAGAGAGCTGACCACCACCACGGCTGCTCTGTGTGGCTGTCGGCAAGTCATTTACCCACCCTGGGCTTCCACTGCCCCTGCTAGGCCATGGACATGACCATCCTGCCGACTATTGTAAGAAATGATGTCTATGAGACATGCCCAGCCCAGGGCTTGGCCCAGAGTGTGAAGTACCCATGCAAAGTACCAGTGGCATCTTCACTGTTATGTATACTCACCCTACTGGCCCTGGATGTGGGGAAATCTATTTCATTCACTTTTGTATCCCTAGCATTGAACACGGGTCTTTATATAAAGTGCTCCATAGATGCTAAGTTGAAGGTGAAAATTTTAAATGCTTTCCAAATGTGAGGTTATTCCAAAACCAGCCCCCAGAGCAGGCAGCACTCCCAAGACCCTGTGGCCAGGATTGAGGGTCAAGGCAGGAAGCAGCGATTTTGTCAAAAGGCCTAACCGTTGCTACTGGCCAGGCCTTGGCCTAGGGTTGTGGCTGGAGATTGGAGGACAGTCCTGCCTGGAGGAGGCAGGGGTTCCCTGACTCATAGTAGTCCTCACTGGATCCATCTGGAGGGCTCCAAGAGTATCCATTCATGGGGAGGGAGGCAGTCCCACCATTACTATTGGGGTGATTTGTAGGAAGCTCATTCCAACACTGCAGCAGAGACCCTCACCTGGCTGGTACTGAAAGCCAGGGGACCCAGGTTACTGAGGGCAACTGACCCCTGAGCTTCTCCCAAGTCTGAGGGCAGGAGCATCCTCTCTCTATACTCACTGTGCACCTGGATCACGGCTTCCAAAGAGCGGATGGCGTTGAGGTTGGGCTTCTGCTTCCAGCCTTCTTCTGAGAGAGGATCCACCTACAGAAGAAAACAGTACATCAGCCACCCGTCTCTCAGGGAGCCACAGGCCCAGCTCTCCTACCCCAAGGGCCCCGGCTTTCCAGGCACAAATATTCATGTGCTCCTGACTCTGCCTACCGTTGGAAACACTGGTCCTAGACTTGACCTGGGGAAGGGGCACCCACTCTGTCCCCCTCATTCCAGGCCTGCCGCCCCCACCCTATCTGCAAGCCCTCCAGGAAGCACTCCATCTGCCTGCCCTTTGGGGCAGTCCTGGGGGAGCCGGGCTCCCTGCCCTATAGATGCGCAGACGGGAGCAGACAACTCACCTTGTTTCCCAGAAGAGCAGCCACACAGGCCTCAGAAGCGTCACAGATGGCTGTGAGGTCATGGCCACCTTCCAAGGCCAGCACCACTGCACCTCCCGCCAAGCTCATCAGCTGCTGGGTCATGTACCCAAAACCTAAAAGATTGGGTGGGGAGGAAGAGGAGAGGTGTGGCTGGAGGGGAGGCAGACTCTCTCTACCTCTGTGATTGCCCTGCTTGCTTCCTTTTTTATAAATGATCACCAGATGCATACACCTCTACTCCAAGGGCTTTCCCACGGACTCCCATGCAAAACCTACCCGTAAGCTTCAGTCAAGGCTTGCAGAGCCTAAGGGACTGGACTTGCATAAGGCCCACAGCTAGTAAGTGGCAAGGCCAGGACTGGAACCCGGGGCATCGACTCCGGCCTATCTTATCCACTAAGCTTCACCATCTTCTCTGTCCCCCAGGCCCTGGGGCCCAGCAGGCTGAGCGGGCTTCCTCTGTTCTGAGAGTACTGCTCCTTCCCATCTCCCCCTCCCCCCCCAAAAAACTGCCAACCCAGCCTGGGCAGTGCCTCCGCTCCCAGCCTGGCCCCATTCCCTGCCCCTCCCCCTGGGCTGGGGGCCCTCCTTACATTTAGCGGAAACATGGTAGCCACCCAGCGGGGCTGGGTGACCCTCAGCAGCATCAAACCCAGCTGACACCAGAACCAGGTCCGGAGAGAACTCTCGGGCAATGGGCATCACAACCATCCTGTGAAGGGTGCCAGATGCGGGGGCTCATCACTCTGTGCAGAGCTGCCGGGGGCACAGGCCCTCTCCCACCAGTTTTACTGTGTGCATCCTGTTCTTAGGACTCCTAGAGGCCCAATAACGGCAGGATAAATGGATCCCTGTGACCGCCTTGACCTGGCTGGCCACCCATGTCCCTACACAGCCTAAGGACTCAGCCACCTAGAGCTCTTGACTGGCAAGAGGCAGAAGGAGTCAAGGATGGGTCAGAAAGGGAAGGAAAGAGGAGTGAGCGTGTGTATGTCTGCGGGGTGTGGTGGGCGGGGCCATGGTGGGGGCAGGTCCCTAAGCCTCTGGGACTAGAAACCTAGAACTTGGCTACCACCCACTTTGGCCTGAGTTGACCACACGGGACCACTTGTCACTTGAGAGCTGACTCTCTTGACGTCCTGGGCCACCCAGATCCACTCTCTCATCCTCTCCCCCTGCCGGCCCCCCACAGCTGCCTCCCTCCACCCTTACCCAACTCTGAGGTCCATTTGGATGTCTTTCAAGGCCCTGGGCTCAGGACACACAGATACGAGGAACCCCAGTCCAGCTCTCATGGAGAGTATTTCCAGAAAAGTATTTGAAACCTACTTCCAGGGTTCCCTTTTCTCAAATGCAGAATGGGGACCCCGGAGTGAACCACATAAGGGTTCCTAAACAGAGCCCAAAGCCTCTCTTCTAAACTGCCTTTTCTTAAGCAACTTCCCCAATATGGACATCATCTGCTTTGTCTCTTTCTCCACAGTATAAATTACTTCTCTCCTGTGCAAAGCCCACCTCCTCCAGGCAGCTTTCTTTGACTGAATGTGGCAGCTGTGCTCCCTCCACCCTGCCTGTTTCTCAGCATTCAGTTCAACCTCGGCTCTTGGTAACATGTGACTTTATAAAGCACCCTTGGCTTTTTCATTCTGAGTTTCCTGTCTTCCCATGGGGGCTGGAGGCTCCTAGAGGCCGGTGTAAACATTGCCTCTCCTTTCATTTGTCTCAGTCTGGAAGGCCCACCCTGGGACTGGTTTAAAATGTCCAGTAATTGGATGAGGATGGGCTGCCAAGCCAACAGATCACCTCCAGCCTGGTACTGCTGGGAAAGGGGCAGGAAAGGGTGGCCTTGCTGGGCATAACTCCCCTGTTCCCCCAGAGCACTCACCTGAAGGCAGCCAGGTACTCAGGATCCCCCATAGGGGGGTCTAGACCTCCTGCCCAGGCCACGTTGACATTGAAGCCCTCACCGCTGCCAGCTCCCACCTGGAAAACAGGAAGCAAGAGAGACAGGAGGGGAGCAGAGTCCCAGGAGAGAAATCCCAGGGTGTCAGTGCTACAAGACCAGTTCATCCGGCCTCTTCACTTCCAGGTGGAGAAACGGAGGATCAGAGAGGCTAAGCAACCTGCCCAGGATCGCACAGCTAGTTGTGACAGAGGCACGGTCAGGGCCATGAAGGAGAGTCAACAGGGCCAGAAGGGGGCATGCGGTTACCTCATCCACGGCCCCACTGCCGGGGAAGAAGTTGCCATCATCATGGCGATGCAGGGAGATGTAGAGCACACTGGGGTCCTGGTAGAAGGTTTGCTGGGTGCCATTGCCATGGTGAACATCCTGCGCAGGGAGATGGACAATGGATTAGGGAAGGCCTGAAAGCACACAGGTGGAAGACCGGGGGAGGTTAGAAGGGATCTCAGAGTCCGTCTTCTGAAGGTCAGGACCCTAGACTGGCAGGCAGGAGCCTGGGGTTCCTGGAGCTACACTGTTAAGTGGTCCTAAGCAGTCCACTGGCTCTCTCTGTGCCTCAGCCTCTCCATGTGTGCACAGGTGTGAGACCATGAAGGGGAGGAGACGTGCCAAGGACCAGCCAGCCAGGAAGAGCGACAAACGTGTGGCAGAAGTGGGAGGAATCCAGGATTACGCGTGTCTGGAACCTCCACTACCGTGTCTGATCCAAGGTCATGGAGTGATGAGAACCCAAGCTGAGTTACAGAGGAGCTGTACATGGACCCCAGCGCCGCCCCTCCCAGGGAGAGCCGTGGCCTGACGCTTGGTAACTCACAGGACCGTGCGTGGGCACAAGTGTGGAAAGTTCTTCCACTGTCACCTTCTGCAGAGGAATGTCCCATGCACGGGTGTTCGGGCAGAGGGGTTTAGCACGGATGCATGTACTCCAGGGCTCAACAGCCTGAGTTCAAATCCCAGTCTCAGAACTTACTACATGTGTGGCTACGTGCAAGTTACTTAACCTCTCTGGGCTCACGCTCCTCATCTGAAACTGGGCTATAGCCGGGATCAAACAAACATATCACAGGTAAAACTGTAGCGTCTAGATGTGATTAGGAGCATGTTGATGTTACTGGTTATTGTTATTGCCATTATTACCACTGTAGCAGAAATGCAGAAATTATCAGATCTGCAGAAAGAAGCCAGTAGAGGCCAAAGAGCACTCAAATGTCTCTTGCCACGGTGGGAGGGTGTCACGGCTGAGGGCCTTCCCCCCACACCATCGCCCCTGGGCCTCCCACCCCCTGATGTGGTGTCATCTTCACCCACATTTTACACAGAAGGAAAGCGAGTCTCAGGAGGCTGATGCAGAACAAGGACAGGAAGCCATATCCTCTGCTGCCAGGCTCAGGGCTCTTTCCACAGGGCTCACGGATCTGAAGGGGCTAGGAACAGGGACCTACCCAGTCCATGATGAGGATCTTGCCGGCCTTGCCCTGTTGTTGAAGCTGCCGGCAGGCAATGGCCACGGAGTTGAAGAAGCAGAAGCCCCTGGGAGGAGGAGAGAGAGGTGTTGCCAGCCTATTTCCCCCTTGTAGCTCCACCTCTCCAGCCTCCTTCCTCTGCCTGCCCCTGGCCTGGCCTAGCCCTAGAAGGCTCAGGGGACGGAGGGGGAATGCCCCCCGCCACCTCATCGCCCCCACCAAGGCCTCCCCCCGGCCTTACATGGCTGTGGAATGGTCCGCATGGTGTCCTGGGGGCCGAACCACAGCAAAACCATTCTGGAAACAGAAAGAATGCTCGTCAACCAAAGGGTCAGCACCCGGAGACGCATCTCCGTGAAGCTGCCCCCAACCCGAGGTTCATCCCTTGAGTAGGGGTCACAGGACAACAGCTGTCCGCAAATCTGACCGCAGCCAGGCTGGATCCGAGATGCCCCGGTGCTGGGCCTCCGAGCCAGGCATCCTCTGCTTTTAGGCTGGATGTGAAAACAAACCGCCCCCGCCCCCCCCCCCCCCACTAACCTTGGTGTATTCGGGCTGTTATCACTTTATAACAACAGTTACTATTTGTTGGGCAAAATCTACTGCCTGGCACCATGCCAAGCACTCTACAAACACCAGGTTTCATCCCAACATCTCTATGAGTGTAAATGTTATCTAATCCTTACAACATCTCCATGAGATAAACATGATTATCTCCAGTTCACAGAGGAGGACAAATCTGAAGCTCAGGCAGGTTAAATAACTTGTGTGAAGCTGCCTGCTTGTGGAGGGCAAGACCAAAATTTACAACCCAGGGCTGAGCCTTTAACTGCAACGCTCCTCCAAGGAGAAGAAATGAACACGAGGCCACGTTGGGCTCCGAGCTCATAGACAGGGGGGCGCGTGGGCCTCAGCACAGGCCCCCGTGAGGTGCCCAGCCCAGAGCAAACAAGCACAGGCACCAACCGGCCTATAAAAAAACCCTCGGTATCGCCAAGAACCAATTTGCCAATGGACAAAGGTCCAGACGTGCTCTGCAACTCGCCAGGGGTCACCCCGTGGGTCTGTGTGTTGAATGATCCTGAATGATTATAATCCCGTGTCTCTTCGAGACAGAGGTCTAGGGTCACAGTGGCTTGACTCCCCACCAAACAACATGACCCTAAGGTTCAAATCTCAGCTTAGTCCCCCAAGCACTCAATTTCCCTTCCAAAACCCTGTGGGGACGATCCAGAGGAACAAGAGGTCTGGGCCTCCGGGTCTGGCTGTCCCTGCAGCGTCCCCTGTGGTTCACCCACCTTCAGCTCAAACCTCCTACCTTTAGCTCACGGGAAGCGACTTTGAAGGCGAGGTCAGTGACGCTGCCGGCTGCCCAGCGGGCCGCATTGGAAGAGTGCAGCTCATTCCAGATGGTATCGGTATCCACCTGTGGGGGCCAGAGCCAGGGCCTGCGTCACCAGAGGCCCCCCACAGGAGCCGGGGCCCACTTGGGCGGTGCCCACCCCACGGCCAGGACCCCAGGGGCAGGGAGCTGGGCAGACAGCGCTGCCTCCCCAGTGCCCCACCACCCAAAGGCAAGGCCTCCTGTGTCCCCCAATCCCAGCATGACTTCTCCTTCCCAGCTTCAGTCCATATCACCAGCCCGTATCTGGCCAGCACTCTGCCGGCAGCATCGCGCCTGCCTCCCCAGTCAGAGGAGGGGGCATGGCGTTACCTGGGCGGGACTTGGGGTTTGGACCGGGAGGGGGTTTTAAGCCCCAGCTGACTCTGCTCAGGCCCTGCGGGACGGTCGGAGCTCGAGGGGCCGTCTGCACCACTGTCTTCCACTCAGGGCCCCTAGCCCAGGCTGGGAGGCCCCCCAAACCCAGTCCCTGGGCCTCAAGGCTAGGGAGGGGCCGGGGGGCATGATGGGGAGATGGGGAGGGCGAGGCGGACCAAGAGAGGCGAGGAAGGCAGAGAGAGTCGCAAGAGGCTGGAGAAAGAGAGAGAGAGAGACAGACAGAGAGGGAGAGGAGGGAGGAGAAAACAGAAGCAACAACAGTTGGAAAAATCAGAAAGTGGCAAGAAATGGGAAGTTGTGAACAGGGCGCTGACTGGCTCCCAAACAGCCCCCCAGCTACGGCTCCCACTTCCCTCCAGAACTAGGCCTCCATCCCGTGCCTGCACACTCCTGGCTGGGACACCACCAGAGGAGGCAGAGAGCCCCTGAAGCTGGGCGAGCCGGGAGGAGGGGAAGGTGGGCAGTGGGAGAGAATTGCCTGGGTCGCCAAGGACACCGGAGGCACCCCCACAGCCCCAGGCCGTGGAGCCTGACCTGCTGGAGGCCAGCGTGGAAGGGACAATCCCGACCACCACCAGGGTCTTACGAAGGGAGGCGATCCCCTGCTCTCTGAACCTCACTCGACATTTACCACACACCGTCTCAGTGCAAGGCACAGGGCTCCCCACTCAGGAGACACTGATAGGTGGAGGACACACCTGTCCACAAGGAGCTTCTAGCCGGCAGAGGAGCATTATGGGAGAGCCCCTGGCCCAACGGGTCTGGTAGAACCACAAGAACAAGCAGGTAGGGGCTGGGCCTGGGAGAACAGAAGGGAGGAGCTCCGAGAGCCCGTGGCAACGGCCGCTCAAGACCCCCCCGGGCACACTTACCCCTACCCCACCACAGGGCAGCATCACAAACATCCGCTGTGCCAGGAGCCCTGTGGGGAGAGGCCCAGTGTGTGTGAGCTGAATCCTCTCGGCTCTGGCCCGGCTGGGAGCACAGAGAGCCCGCAGAGGGCTGGGGCCAGGTACGCAGGGCAAGAGGGCAGTGGGCAGCGGAGGGACTAGGGCAGCCTGGGGATGCCCAGGATCCTGGGGGCACAGGCTGGGCAGGGGTGGGGCAAGAGAGCACAGGGGATGAGTGGGCCGGGTGAGCCAGTGGAGGCCCCGGGGACCCCAGGCACCATGAGGCCCCTACCTGCCAGCTTCCCGTTGTCCAGTTTGAGGCGGCTGAGCGGGTTGGTGCCATAGAGGAGCACGTGCCGCTCGGAGTGCACTGACTGCAGCTCCTCCAGGGAGGCCTTCCGGCCCCGGAGACACTGGGGAAGGGCCCGCAGAGCTCCTAAGGCCCTGCTCACCCCCTCCCTGCCATCACCGCCACCCGCTTGGCCCCTCATCTCCCACGGGCTCCAGGGCCCCCCTTCCCTTCCCTTCCCTTCCAGCACTCCCACCTCCTCCGGTTCCGCGGCCCCCTCCCTGCCCGCTCACCTCACACTGGCTCCGGAGCCCCCGCTCCTGCAGCCGGGACCAGATGCTCTGGATACGGCCCGCGTGCTCCGGGTGCCTGCTGTTGTCCCCGCAGGAGCACTGGTGTTTCAGCATCACCGAGTCATACACCAGCCCTGCCAAGAACAGGGCTCAGGGCCCAGACCCAAGGGAGTCCCCACCCCCGCCCCTGGCTGCACGCACGCGCGCGCACACACGGAGCCAACCTGACATGCCCCCCGTCACACAATCCCGCATACCCCATCCTGCCCCTCGGCCCCTCACACCCAGACACACCCCCACCCCGGTCGCTAACCCAGGCAGCCTCAGGCACCCCGCGCACACACGACACAGCCCCAGCTAATGCTGCTGCCACACAGCCGATGCCTTCCTGCCACACTGTCCCAGCTCCCCTGGCCCAGTGCATCCACCATGACCTCAGGAGCTCAGAGCCTAACAAAAGGAGGCCTAATGTCAGGGTCTCACGCTGGATGCCATGACCCAAATAGGCGGCCACGGGGGAACAAGAGGAGAAAAACATTCCTCCGAAACCCCCAGATTGAGAGGGGGGAAGCCTACGGTGACACTGAGCCACGTGACAAGACAGATGCAGTTTTGGGAAAGTGACTGCTTCGGCCTGAACAGCGGGGACGCCTAGAGGGCCCTGCACACGGTGGGTGTCCAGCACGCCTCAGGACAGCAGGATCTGCGAGACTTTCACACCACTTGGCCCAGGGATGCCACTCCTTAAGAGTGGGAAACAACACCAGGGGTGAACGAAGGTTTGTGCACAAGGACGTTCCCGTGAGGGAAAACGAGTAGCCCAACCCGGAAGAAATCTTGAAAAAAATACAGATAGAATACTGTGACGAAATAGTCCAAAAATCTCATTTTTACGGGCGAGTTGCATCACAGCGTGGTCGTAACACGCTCACAGAACAAGGCGGGGCACAGCACGCAGGCCGTGTGTAGACGGGGTTTGTACACAGCTGGATTAAGATGGGGCTAAACGACAGCGGCCTTCAGGAGAGGCTGCTTTGGGGTGGTGGGATACTGGCTGGTGATTTTTATTTCATTCGTAGGTTTTTACGTGGTTTACGAAATTTCTAAAATGCTTTTAAGCTCTTTTTACAAGCAGAGCAACTGTAACAAATGTCGCTTTTGAAAGATCTGAGCTGGGTGCGAGGAGACCCGGATTCTTGGCCTGGCTTGACCGTCAGCTGGCTATTTGGCAACCTTGTCACCTTAGGTCCCCGGCGCCCAGGTCTCCTCATCTGTAAGATGAGAACCACCACCCTCTCTACCTGCTTCATGGGACGCCACGTGGACCTAACAAGACCCAGAAAGCGCTCTGTGGCCTCAAAAAATGTCCTGAGCGACACCACGACACAGACACGGACTCGTGCCTGAGCCCGTGTGCCCCCAGCCCCTTTTCCCACCCCCACTCTAATCCAGGCCTCACCTGTGGTGAACGGCAGGGTCCTGGCAGAGGTCTCTGAGCTGGGCAGGACACGGGCCTGGCTGGCAGGCTCTGGGGTTGGCAGTGAGGCAGGCGCAGCTGGGGATGACTGAGCCCTGGACAGGGGCCGGTGACTGCCCTGGGCCAGGGAAAGCAGCACAGAGTCCCCAGTTCCTCCCCGTGGGAGCCGCCCAGCCAGTCGCTGCTGCTCCCAGAGGAACACCTGAGGGACACAGGGGGCCTCAGATTCCAGGTCTCAGGATTCTGCTCCATATGCTTCTGCCCAAGGTCTCAGAAACCTCCAGGCAGGACCCCTTCCGGGAGAGATTCCAGGATGCCTCCAGCCTTGCCTCCTGGCTGGGCTCTGGCCTTTGACTGCTGAACCCCCTGCCCCCGCCGATGCCCCTAAAGGTCCGCAGCCCAGAACGACCACGCTATTCCACCAGAACGCCTTGGAGCCTTGGGACTCCAAAGCCAGAACCCAGGTAAGGGGCCTCGGGCCAACTTCCCAAGGACACAGGGACCTGTGTGAGCCATTGCACATGTGTGGACTATTACCATGTGCCATGGGCCGACTTGTGTCCCCCCACTTCCTGTTTACAAAGTCCTAACCCCTGGCCCAGTACCTCAGAATATGACCTGATTTGGGGACGGGGTCTTTACAGAGGTAATCAAGTTAAAATGAGCTCATCAGGGTGAGCCTTAATCCAATATGACTTCTGTCCTTATAAAAAGAGGAAATGTGTACACAGACAGGCATAGAGGGAAGACGATATGTAGACTCAGAGAGAAGGTGGCCATCTGCAGGTGGGGAGAGCAGGCCTGGAGCAGCCCCTTTCCTCACGGCCCTTGAAGGAACCAACCCTGAGGGCACCTCGATCTTGGACTTCCGGCCCCCAGATCCGTGAGACAATAAGTGACTACCGTTTAAAGCACCCAGTTTGTGCTACTTGTCACAGCAGCACTAGCAAACGCATATGCTGTGAGCACGCCCTGGCTCCGCCCCATTTCCTGCCCCAGCCGCCTTCCTGGACACGGTACAACGGGTCACAGGGGAGATGTACTAGGGCAGGAATGCACGTGGCTCCACGAGAACCCAGCCTCACTGCTGCACAAGGACACGGCTGCACCCTGAGACTGCCGGGCTGCCGGGGCGTGGGCGTATGAGGACGCATGCGCGCGCACGCTTGTGCCCGGATGCGTGTAGGGGTGTGCGTGCCTGCACCTTGGTGCGGATCCGATACGGTAACCGTGGGTCCTGGAGTTGTCTCCCACACTGGTAACCTGGCTCCCTCCCCTCCGTCTGTGCCAGACCCCAGAGTCTCCCGACTGCACCTTCCCAGGGAAGCGGGCGCTGCCATACCTGCTGGTGCTGCTGGAGAGGAATAGGGCCTCTGGCTTCGTGCTGCCCATGGCTTGACTCCCTGTGCTCCAGGCCGTCATCCCCCACCGGCCCCACTCCCCCACCATCTGTCTCCAGGTCCTCAGCTGAGGGGATCTGCCGCAGTCGGGGCTTCTCACTTGGCTTGGCTGGCCTCTGGGGAGGGGAGATGCCCACTGAGAAGCCATGCTGGGACTCAAGGTGTGCAGTGGGCCACGGTAGGCCGGGCTGGGCGGCTGCTCATCTTGCTGGGGCTTTAGCAGCCAGGCAGCTCTTGGCCCTCAGGAGCCATATCCTCTCTCTGGCCCACCAGATCCTCACCCTTCCTAAGCCTCCCTTCTTTCAGCCCCCAGGGTCCAGTTAAGCAACCCCTCATCACCTCCCCTACCCAGTTCCCCTCACCTTGATCAGCTGGACGTGAGGTTTGAGCCGGTCCAGGCGGGGCTGCAGGGGGCCCAGCGGTGGGGGGGCGGTGGCGCTTGGGGGCAGGGGCTCTGAGCGGGTCCGGCTTAGTGGCCGGTGGAGGCCTGACCCAGAGAGCCGCTCGGTGGTCAGTAAGGACTGGGCAAAGTGGAAGGGCAGGGGCCCAAGGCCGGGCACTGGAAAGAATGGGGTGGGGGTGGAGCATAAGGAGGGAACCAAAGGGAGGAACGGAAGGAAGCAAAGGCTTGGGGTGGTAGGCGGCAGGGACTCAGCAGGGAGACACGCAGGATGGGGGACTGCAGAGGGGCAGGAAGGAAGGGACCCTTCCCGGGCTTGGCCCTTAGCAAGATGCAGGGACCAGCCCCTCCCCTGGAGAAGCCTGGGAACTCACCAGTCAGCAGGGGCGCGTGAGAGACTGAGGGATCGAGGAGGAGAATGGGCTGTAGTCGAGAGGACAAGGGGCCCCCAGACTCAGACTCCAGGCTGTGGGGCAGGAAGAGGGGAGCATGGGGGCTCCCCAGGACCGGCCCCCGAGGGCCCAGTGTCGGATGGGTCCTGCGGTCAGCATCAGCCTGGAGAGAAGAAGGGAGAAGTCACAGGGGGGAAAGATCCCTCCCAGAGAGAGCAGTGAAAGTGCCAGGGTGAGGTGGTAGGAGAAGGGAGCGAACAGAAGCTGGGGGCTTGCAGTGGGGGAGGGCGCCTCAGCCACTCACCCTGGCAGGGGCGGGGAGCCCCAGCGTGATTGCGGGCAGCAAGGACACTGTCGGCAAGGCGAACGGGGCCAGAGAGGTCTCCTGCAGCCGCAGCCGCTGGCCCAAGAGCGCCTGCCATGGGGAGCAGGGCAGGGGTCACCGGTCCCAGACCTCTACCTCTGGGCACGCCTTCCCCAGAACCCCCAGGAGGCTCGGGTCCAGGCTGCCCAGACCCTGTGGCCCCAGCTTGGTCACGGCTGCTCGCTGAGAAGAAGGCTGAGCCTCAGAACGGCCCCCCTGCCCCCCGGAGAGCCCAGCCTGGCAAGGCCTTACCTCCGAGCCCAGGACGGGGTTGGGGCCTTGCTCGCTGTCATTGGGGGAGCTGCACCCTGATGCTGGTGTGCTGCTGCTACTGGGGGAGGAGTCTGGGGCGGGGAGGGAAGCACAGTCAGAGGCCAAGCATGGCCAGAGCAGGGCCAGTCCCCCTTCCCCAATGGGCGGCCTCTGCTTCCTGCTTTCTTCCCAGAAGGGCAGGAAGAGGGCCAGCCACTGGTCTCCAGTGCCTCTGGACACTTTTTTGAAGGTGACCCTTCTTCTGGGCAGACGTCAGCTTAGCCAACAGTACGGGGCTGGCAACTCACCCCCCCTAGCAAGTGTGTGGGACACATCCTGTATGACCATGCACACTAGCCCTGTCTGGGTGGGACGTGACCCAAAGGGATAACACCAGCACCTCTGCTCACCCTGCTGGCTCTTACCACCGAGGGTCTCTGCAGGCCGCCGCCGGAGACTAGGCGGGGCGCTCTCCTTTCTGAGCAGTGGATTCTTCCTCCTCTCCAGGGACTTCTTGGGCTTGTAGCGCAGCTTCAGGTTGGGCTCAGAGACTGTGGGAGCACAGCGTTACTTGGCCCCACACCTCCCTCCTCCCAGTCACCTCTGAGTTAAGGTGAGAGAAGGCAGTGCCTGGGAGAAAGCAAGCCACTGGGGGCTGACCTTCTGCTCCCCAGCCAGACCCTCCCACCCCTCCACACTCCCAACCCATGTCCAAAGCCCTGACCCCTTAACTCCCCTAGAGGGTCTCCCCCTGCCTGTCCCACTCGCCTGTCTTTCGGAGAGGGAAGTGTTCTGGGGGGTCACTGGGCAGGCTGGGAACAGGAGGCAGAAAGCTGCTAAGCATAGAGCGAGCAGCTCCTTCCGTCTCCAAGGGCTCGAGAGTTCTGTGGAGTGAAGGCACAGGTTGCTTCAGAGGGGTGGAGAGGCCCAGAGACCTGGCAGCCAAAGGCTCTGCAAGGGCTCTTCCTGAGCAGGGGCCTCCGGGACCTGCTAGGGGAGGCAGCAGCAGCTGACAGGGCCAGGCACTGTGTGGCGGGATAAGAACAGGGGCCATCTCCAGGTGGCAGCATTGGGCCACCCTTCCTATAGGCAGCCTCCAACGCAGGCCTCAGATCTAGGCCTAGGAGCCAGGGTCCCAGGGCTTGCTTGGGTCCCAGTCACACTGGGAACTCTTTGTCCCAGCAGGAGGAACCTGCTCCAGGAATCAGGATTTTTTTTGGTGCTTAGGGAAAGTCATAAAGAGAAAAGGGACTCGTGTACGGAAGAAGAAAGCCAGCGTGGTATGTCGGGGTCTCAGTGAGGAGTACGAAGGGCTTCGGGTGGGGTGGGGAGAGATAATTCAAGGAGAAAAGGGGGCAGGTGTCGGGTGGGGTGGACAGCATTATAATTAGAGGCGAGGGGTAAGGGTCAGGTGATGGGCAGCTGGGAGGCAGAGGGGGAGAGTACGAGCGAGCGTGCACAGGCTGACCCGTAGGGAAGAGGAGGTGAGGACACGAGGGAGCCGGCGGAGAGCGAGTTACCTGTAGGGAATGCTGGGGCTATTGGGATGGACTGTTCTCTCTAGGGCTGCCTGCTGCTTCTTTAGAATCACCTCTGCCAGCTTCTGCTTGACCACACTGCTAGCTACGGCACCTATGGGGGTGGGAAGTCACGAATGGGTTGGGGGTGGACGGACGGTGGCCTCCCTGCCGCATCCTCCGCCCATTGCCCCGTCCCCTCCCGTAATACGAAGCGGCCAGGGGCCCTGGCCTGCTCAGGCGAGAGCCAAGCCCGTGGCCCCACCCCTTCTGCGAGGCCCCGCCCACACTCTGCAAAACCACCCCAGCCCGCGTGCGGTCCTTACTTCGCTTGCTCTTGTCCTTATTGAGAAGCTGCCGCAGCTCTTGCTCCTGCTGCCCCACCTGCAACTGGGGCACCGGCGTGTCCATTGGGAGCTGTGGGCAGGGCCGGCCGCCCAGGAAGGGGCAAGGAGTTGAAGACTGAGCCGAGGGTCTGGGGGAGGCGGGAGGCAGGGAGGGGGGCTGGGGGCGGAGCTCGAGGCCACAGCGTGTGCGGGGAGCTCTGACTTTACCCTCATGGGTTCCGCTGAGCGCTGAGGCAGGCCTGCTGCGAACAGCAGGTGGTGGTGCAGGTGCTGGGGGTGCTGCAGGGCCAGCAGCGCCGGCTCTGGCGGGGGCTCCACCGGGGGCCGCTGGCCCACCCGCAGGTCCATGGGCTGGGGCTGAGGGCCTGGCGTGTCCGCTGGGGGCCTGAGGCGGCCTGGGGGCACACAGAGAGGGCAGGGTCGGCAGGGAAGTTTGAGGGAGAAGGTCAGGACCTAAGCAGCCTCCTCCAGGCTCACTTGACAAGGGCAAGCCACCCTCAGGTGCCTTTTCCTCACTTCAGTCCTCACCGCGGTCCCATGAGAAAGGAGGTCACGTAACCATACAAGGTTAGGCTATCGAGGTAGCGCTCCGATCGAGCCTTCTGACTCCAAGCACGGCGCTTTTCCACTAAATATGTTGCCTCTCCAGAGCAGGGGCTGGGTGCTGGGAGGATTCAGTGACGGGCTGCAAGCCCTATGGGGGAACATTCTGGGCCCTGCCATCTCCTTCTCTTCTTCCCGGATGGAATGAAGATTTGGCCGGACTGCCCCCTAATGAACTGCACTCAAAGCAGCTAGCCCGCGGGCAAACGGTCCCCTTTGTTCAGCCACCAGCCCTAGAGGGCCTCATGGGCTCTTTCAGCAGTCACCCTCCGGTACTCTATCCCGGGCCACAGGATAAAGAGGCAGTGCCCTGAACCTGCGGCTAGCCTTGCCCCGCCATCCTGAGCCTGCACGGCCCTATTCGCAGGGCAGCTTCCTCAGCTCCCGGGGCCCATCTGCAGGGGCCTGCCTCCGGGCACCCTCAGGCCAGCTCTGGGCCTGGCACTGTAAGAACCGCAGGCTCAGCCGCCTCTTCTCAAGCGCCCTCTGCACCGAGGCCAGGAGTACCTTCCCAAGGCTGTGGGTGCAGGACCTATTTATAACTAGCCACCAGACCAGGTTGTGTGCCCACAACGCCAGCCGGACCAGGCTGGACGGGGCAGCTTCGGACTCTCAGAGGTGGAGTGTCTGCAGGGTGATTATCCTGGAGAAAGGGAAGCAGGTAGGGGTGAGAGCAGGTGCCCTAGGACAGAGCACACAAGGGGGGGGAACCTTTCTGGAGAAGCCTCCTTCCGCTCATCCAATGCTAGGCATCCCTCATCAGGGGATGACTTTCCCTCCTGGCCCAAGGCTGAGGGGGACTGGAAGGCACTGGGACAAAGCACCAGCTGGGGAGTCAGGGAACACAGTCTCCAGGCCCAACTCAGCCATTACTACTCATTACCTTAAACCTCTGGCGCATGTGTACGCATGTCTGCAAAACACTTTCACCCTGAAATCCCCTATAGGCCCTGGGAGGTAGTTATTACTATTTCATTATCCCAAGTGTGGAAACTGAGGCTCGGGTGAAAGGACCTCTCCAAAGCCACCCAGGAAACAGAGACAGCGAGCATGGCTTCTGGTCCCACCCAGGCCACTGCTCCACCTCTCTTTTCCCATGGACTTTCAGGAAGTCACCAGCCCTCATGGAAGTTTCTCAGTGGACGAAGGAAGAGGGGCTCGCGGTAGGTTGCTAAGGGGCACCTGCTCTAACATGCCCTGACCGGGGGAGATGGAGACAAGCAGGGAGGTGCCCACCGCAACTCTTCGGATATTAAGAGACCGGAGGGGACGGCTGTGCACCCAGATGTGCCCTGCAGCAGGCAATGCATGGCTTCCGTGTCCCCACCCCTTGTTCATGCATCCACCCAGGGAACCCAGATTCTCAGTCTGGTGGAGTCTAGGCCTCTGATGCTAACACCCTCCTGCCAGGAAGGGTCTCAGTCCTCCCACATCTGGTGTCCTGGCTTCCTGGGCTGACTCCCCTGATGATGCAAGAGGGACCTCAGGGAACCTGAGGCAGGCCACAGGACGCGGTGCTGGCCGCTTCAGCCTCACACAGACCTCGAGGGCCCATCCCTTACGCTGAGTAGATTGACTCTGAGCTGAGAATGTGGGAGGGGCTCTGCCAGCAACCCTGAGAACACCTGTGAAGGTCACTTAGCACGTGGGGGTCTCCACAGTCTGGTGCTAAGCTGGCTTTTTGTGGTCTCCTACGTCCCAACACAAGCCTTTGTCTCAGCCATCAGCTCCTGTCCTGCTACAAACCCACGTACCTTTTGTCCTCTGAGCTTTTGCTCCCAACGACCCCCTGGTGGTACTGTCCTCACTCCTCACATTCTACTTTTCCAAATCCTACCCTTTCTTCCAAGTCCGGCTGGAATCCTCCCTCTTCCCGGGACTCAGCCCAGTGCCCCTTGTCTCTCCCTCCTCTGGACTCCAATCAAGTTGGAAGTTCTGTGCCCTATAAGCATAGCATGGGCAGGTACCATCTGAGGTAAGCTCCAAGGGCAGGAACTTGGTTTTGTTTCCTTCTCACTATCCCAGCACCTAGAACGGTACTCAGCACAGGACAGGAACCCAATAAATACCGGCTGAATCGATGAATAAATCTCTGTGTCCGTCCCCCTAAAACACCTAGGAAGGTACCCTGGCACAGAGATGGGGCTCATCAATGTTTCTGTTTCTTTTTCCGATTTCTGTGTTCTTTCAAAGAAATTACCTGTCTAGGGGTGCCAGGGTGGCTGCCGGTTGACTGTCCAACTTTGGCTCAGGTCACGATCTTGCCGTTTGTGAGGTTGAGCCCTATGTCGGGCTCTGTGCTGACAGCTCAGAGCCTGGAGCCTGCTTCGGATTCCGTGTCTCCCTCCCTCTCTCTGCTCCTCCCCTACTTGCACTCTGCCTCTCTCTCTCTCCCTCTCTCAAAACTAAATACGCATTAAAAAAATTCCATATCTCCATATCTAGGAGGACTAAGTGACAACAGGTGGTGAATCTGTTTCTTGAATGAAGGGATGAACTCAATCAGTTGTCCCTTGTGTGGCACCGGTCACAAACTACATTCTCCTATCACTTCCCTTTTTATTGGCGTGTCCACTCTCCCCAACCGGCCTGTAATCTTTCGGACAACCAGGACTGAGGCGCAGAGGATCTCCGGACTCCATCTGTCCCCACCATCTGTAACCATTAGGCGTCAGGCACCCAGTAGGCCCTCTGCGGACGCTGGCTGAGACTAAGGGGAAGACAGCCCTCAGCCCCTCCAGCCCCAGCCCCACGGGCGTGTCCTAGACGGGAGCGAAGCGGAAGTCCTGGTGAGCAGGGAGTGGCAGAGGCAAGGAGAGGTGAGAGAGCCAAGGAGAGGGGACCCTCCCCTCCTGCCTGAGCAGCAGGAGGCACCTTTCCATTTTGCAGGGCCCGTGTGAGGACCGAAGCCAACAAACAAGAACGCGGCGCCTCGCCCGGAGCCTCATGTGAGGCAGGGGTCTGAGTATAAACAGTAGCTTCCTACTTGCCTTCCTGTTTCACTGCAGCCAGCAAGGACAAGAAGAGCATCGTGCCTTTCCTTTTCCTGTTTTGCTTCCTAGCAATGGGACCGGCCTAGGCCCGAGGCTGCCTCTCTTATCCCACTCCTCACCCCACCCCTACGCCAACTTCACCCCCACCCTCAGAACCCCAACCTCCCAACCCGCTGGCCCATCAGCCAGCTACCCTGCTTCTCTCCCCTTCAGCTCCTCGCCCTTCTTGTGCCCCTTCCATGCTCACTCCCCACCACGGGCTCCCTCGGGCCTGACTCTTACCTGTGCCAGGGGGACTGGGGCAGTGGGCACCCGGGCTCACCTGGGTCCCATCTGTAGAGAGAAGAGAAAGGGCATGAAGGGGCTGCAGGGGAGGGGTGGGGAAGGGATGAGCGGGCCAGGCCATGCAGGCTCCCTGCCACTACAGGAGGTCCCACTCCAGCTTGGGCGCTCCCAAACTGGCACCTGCACCAGGAACTAACCAAAAAGCAAGGACTCCATCCCATTCCTTTCCTCGACTTCCCTGTGCAGAATGAGAGCACTCGACAGCCCTCCCTTCCTCATTCAACTCACCCAGTGACTCAAACATCTCAGCCTGCTGGAGCCCGGTCCACAGCAGGCCCAAGGAGGCCCGAGTTCCCCCAACAGTGCCCTCAGCCCTCCTGGATGTGCTCAGACACCATCCTCCTAGGGCCCAGGCTCCCACAACCCTGAGGGAAAGAGGACTGGAAGGGGAGGTGGCCAGAGGTGGGAGGGCACGGCTGCTGAGGCTGGCAGGTGGGAGATGGGGAGAAGCTGGCCCAGAGAAGGGTAGCTGGGGGCTGCTCAGAGGCCTCCCAGGTGGGAGCAGATGGGAGCAGGTGGAAATGGGGAGGCTTCCACAGTCGGGGAGGGACGGGGTCATGGCCTGAAGATCAAGTCAGAAATGGTGGGAGCTGTGAGCTGGTGCGCCTGGAACGCATAGGCCCTGTCCTGTGTCTTGCAGCCTCTGTTCCCCCAGAGAAAAGAAGCTCTCAGTTTTTTCTTTTTGGACTTCTGAAACAGAAGTCTTTTCTTTTGGGAACAGTCACCTCTCCCAGGCTCATAAGCCCAGCCCAGAGCCCCCCTGTCCCATTCAGAACCCATGAAGCTCCATGGCAGGAGGCCCTGAGGAGCCCAGAGGCCCACTGGGGTAGGCAAAGACAGGGTTCAGATCCGAGGTCCCCTGTCCAAGACGGACACCTTTCCCTTCTGCTATCCCAGCTCAGGGCCAAGGGGACAGGAGTCTAGGAGACCGGAAGGCCACACCTGACGGACACACAGAAGACCTCCTCAGGCCAGATGCAGGGCAGAAGGGATATTTTCTGAATAGCAACTGGTGGGTGCTGCTCTTTTGGGTCTGTGTTTAAGGGGCAGTCATAGTTCCTCTTCCAGAGGCTGAAAAAAGGAGAACTCCCTGTAGGCAGGCACCACTGGGGGAAGGGAGAACTCTAGGCACAGGGAGCCTCCCATCACTGCCCTCAAACCCTAGTGTCCCATGCTCCAGGTGGTAGGGAATGGCCAGTCCACCTACCCAAAGTCTGCATAGCACAAGTCGATGGGCCTCCTCACAAAATTCACCCTGACCTCCCTCCTGCTCCCTTCCCAGAGCACCCACTCTGTGTCCACTACCTCAAATGAGTCTACGAATCACGGTCTCCACGCTGCCATTTGGAAGCCACGCCAGTCTGCACCTAACACCTTGCTGGGCGCATGACAGGCTCTGGTAGGAATGAGTGACTCAACAGCAATGGCTTCCCCGGCCCCCTGCCTAGGACGTGGCATGGGTATTTCTCAAGGTTTGTGAGCCCCAAGGAACACTGGTGTGGGAGGAAGCAGCCCATCCCCAGAACATGGTAGCCCCCACCCTAGGCTCTCTTAGGACCTCTTCTTTTCTTCTGCAGGACCTGATTCCCCAAGAGAGGTTTCTAAACTGGGCTCGTGGGTGTGTTCCCACAGGCTGTGCCTGGCTTAGAGTCCTGTGCCTCCAGCCCTTCCCAGTGGGAATTCTCTCCTACCTCCTCTCAGTCCCTGCCTGAGGGCTGGTCAGTGGCAATCACGCTTGGGAGCAGGGCCAAGCCTTGCTCCCCTGGTAACCGTGGATTCGGGACACCATGCACTCTCTGGATAGAAGAAAAACTAATGGGCCTGAACTCTGTGGTGTTTGTTACCGGGCCCAAAAGGGATGTTTTGTGATGATGATCTATGATATAAACTCTGTTCAGAAAAGCTGGGAGCATGCACGCATGTGTGTGTGTGTGTTGCCAACAGCGGCTGCTTCCAAAAGCAATTCCTGGAAAAAGTTCCGCTTCTCCCCCAACTCCCTGATTCTGTGCTGACGGCCGATGAGTGCAGAAGAGCCCAAAGCAACAGAGATAAGACCTGTGGAGCAGCTCTCCCGTGTCCCAGAGAGAGGAATGGCATCTAAGAGCACCCAGCAAACGGCTGAATTAAAAACCAAAAGGTGTACGTCCTATGGCCCAGGCTTGGCAATGATTTGGGGGATGCTTTTTCTCCTTGTCCCCTCTCAGGGTGCTGTTACCACCAATCTGGGGCCAGACAAATAAAATCAGGACTGAATGGACCCAAGGGACTGAGAACACTGCCTAGGCCTGGACCCTGTTCCACACAGCTCCCAGTCAGGGTGGAAAGCTCTGATTTTTGGAATCCTGGCTGCCCTCCCCACCCCATTTCTCCCTTCTTTGGAAGCAGCTGCCATCAGACTGGAGAGGCAGGTTACTTGGCAATGAGCACCCGAGCCTACCTTCCCAAACCAGATCACCTGACCAAAGGGGCCCCCAAATCCTGGTCTATCCCGGTGCTCTGCAGCCCCCAGAGCAGACACAGGGCCACTCTTCTGTCCCCTGAGCACCGGTGCCAGCTGGTCTCCCACTCCTATCTGGTTAGCCTGGGCCTCACCTGCCCCACAGATGTGACCGTGCCCCAGGGCATGCACAAGGTGGCTGGAAACCTGAGCCCTGCCTGCTTACCTGCTCTCCCAGGTGTTTTGGGCCCTTTGTCAGGAAGAGGGCTTCCCGAGCACTGCCACCCAGAAGCCCCCTGCCAACACCTCTGATGTCTTTTGTGAGGCCGTCCCCACCTTCCAGATCTCCGGACTAGCTGAATAGGAGTCGCAGGAAGGCCTGGGCCCCAGGAGGCAAGAGGAAAGCAGGAAGCGGCAGGAGGCCAGGTCCTGGGTTCAGGGCTGGCTCCCTCCACACCCCACATTACTGTTCTGGTTCTGTTTCCCTGACACAAGCTGGACAAAGCTAGACTCTGCATGGGGGCTGGCAGAGAAGATGAAAGCTGGGGGTGAAACGGCTTCAGGAAGATCCAAGAATAAATAAACATGAGAAAGAACATCCTGGTTGCCAGGCCCTTCTGACACAGAGTGAGGGCTGAGCACGAAGGAGAAGCGCCTCTCGAAGGCATTCAGGTCACAGAACCTGAGAACATTAGGAGCCGATGGGGCTTCGGAGATTATTCAGGCCAACCCTCTCACTTCACAGAGTTGGAAAGAGAGAGGGGAAGGGGCTAGGTCACGGTCACCCAGAAGGTGAGCGGTACAGCCAGGCCAGACCAGGGCAGGGGAAACTCAAGAAGTCAATCCCAAATGCAGGCATGAAGTACTTTCATGTGAGTCACTGCTCCAGGGGTTGAAGAGATGGAAACATGAATGAAACCTGGTTCTCACTTTCAAGGAGTTTAAAATGCAGCCCACAGTTTTTTAAAAATTTAAAAGTAGACTACTTGCCGATACTAAAAATGTTCAGAGTCTCCAAAGGTAAAAGACAAGAACATTCTCAGTCATCCAACTCCCCAGAACTCCCTTAAAGTCAACCCTTTTGAACAGTTTCTCTCTCCCCCACCTTCCAGAAATTCTTTTGTTCATTATTAATTCTATTGCTCATTATCTTGGCATGAAGCTGCTTACTGCTCAGGTTTATCCAGAACCCAAGGGGCTGCACACTGGCTAGAAACTCCTGCCACATAAAGTGAGGAACGTGAGGGTCCACAGCACAGAGGACATTGGCTTTGAGGTCAGATGGACGTGGGTTCAAAGTCTGGTCCCTCAGTGACACGCAGGGAGAGCCAGGGACACAAGGTAAGCTGTCAAGCCTTGGCCGCCCCATCGGTAACGGTAATAAGAATATCTACTTGTGGGGGGGGGGGTGCATCTGGGTGGCTCAGTCCATTAAGCGTCCTTCAGGGCAGGTCATGATCTTGCAGTTCGAGAGCTCAGAGTCCTGAGTCCCATATCAGGCTCTGCTGTCTGCATGAAGCCTGCTTCAGATCCTCTGTCCCTCTCTTTCTGCCCCTCCCCTGTTTGCTCTCTCTATCTCTCTCTCAAAAATAAATAAACATTAAAAAAAAAAAAAAAGAATACCGCATCTACTTGGAAGTGGCCATCTGAGATTAGCAACACTGTGTGTGAAGCACCTAGCATGTGGTTAGGGGTCATGATTAATACCATTTGTCCCTGAACTTGCCTGCTGCCTCCCTCCCAGCATAAGCATTTCAGCATCTGGTCCCAGTGGCACCCTCTGCTCTTAGTTCTACCACAGTCCATTTTCTCCCCGTTGCATTCCTTGCCCCATCTCCTACACCCTGCCTCCCGCCACCACACTCCCCTCCTTTTCTCTTCCATCTGAACTTTTGTAAACACACGCTTCACCGTGTGATAGTTGTTCTAAGCCTTACATTCGCTAATTCATCTAAGGCTCACGACAAGACAAAACAAAAGGTATGAGGTGGTTACTGTTTTTATCCCCATTACACGAGGCAGTAGACTGAGGCCCAGCAGTATTAAAGAACTCGTCTGAAGTCACATCACATGGAAGTGGCGCCACTGGGACTTGAGCCAGGCAATTGGGCTCCAGAATCCGTGTTGTCAACCAATACCCTCCAGGTCTCTCCCCAACACTTCCGCTCCCGCAGGCCGCAGGCTGGCAGGTAGGGAGCAAATGCGGGACTTACTGGGCCCAGGGAAAGACAGAAGAATCACACAGCGCCACAGAGACCAGTACCCGCAGCACACCCCAGCCCTGTGGGAGGTTAGGGAGCAAAAGCAGCCTGTTTCCTCTCTGGGGCCCCCGTGAAGACAATCCTGAAGAACCACTTATAGACGGCAACCGCTGACTTCAAAGATTCCAAGCACTGATTTTGGACTGCATGTGGGAACGAGGAAGGGTGACAGACTGGGGTCTTAGAAGAGCATCGGCTTCATCTTCCCTGCTCTCCACTGCCAGCTACACCCTTTCTCTAGGAGCTCCCAACTCCCCCTGAGGCTCTCATGAGCATCCCAGAGCAAGCTC